GTTTACGTTTACGTTTACGTTTACGTTTACGTTTACGTTTACGTTTACGTTTACGTTTAGTTTACGTTTACGTTTAGTTTACGTTTAGTTACGTTAGTTACGTTAGTAGTAGTAGTAGTAGTAGTAGTAGTAGAGTAGTAGTAGTAGTAGTAGTAGTAGTAGTAGTAGAGAGAGAGAGAGAGAGAGAGAGAGAGAGAGAGAGAGAGAGAGTGTGTGTGTGTGTGTCTTGTGCCAATAGTGGTACAAAAGCAATAAATTTGAAGTCTATGGAATTCGATGCTCGGATTCTTCTACAATTCTTTGCATGTTATATGTAGCCACTGTAGGCCAGAATCTAGAGAGAGAGGGCTGAGAATGTGGGTGAACCAAAAAGGATTGGTTGAGCTGGGCTCCCATGGTTTTGGTACTCATAACTCGTAGAACCATCGGGCATTCGTTGGCTGACCGACAGTCCAAAGTTTAATGGCCAGCATAACATCCATTGCCTGTGCACAGGAAGAAGAAACGGTACTATGGATTAGTAGGAGTCTTTTGCTTTGTCAAAGAAGTTACAAGTAGGTCGGAGAAATCAATGTTATCAAGGCCTCAGATCGATCGGATAGTTGATCAGTGCTTCGGTCAGTTTAGTTCAAAATAAAAATCGAATTTAGTTAAAAATCGGTTAAAATTAATATTTTATTGGTTTTAGCGGATCAGACGAGTCGATTGATCCATTGTATTGGCTAAACAGAGTTAAGCATTTTTTTTAAAAAAAATATTATATTTCGGATTTTGAACTATTCATCCTATTTTTCTTTAATTTTTTTAAAACGTGGTCTAACTAGTTTGACTAGTGGGGCCTGTTCGGATGGTGTCCTAATTGACTCGGTAGCTAATTTGGTTTAAAAGAGGTTGTGAGAAGTAATCCTGATATATAAGCATGCAAAATCAACTTCAAATAATCAAACCTTGCCTGAGATCAACAAAAAACTAAGGTACAAGAAAATGCGAGTTAATAATTCTAAGAAACCACCAACCTGAGCGAATAAGACCATTACTCCAATGGAACAACAAATAAATAGATGAAACCGCCAAAAAATCGGTTAATTTTCTTCGACATCGGTCGTTGTAGTCTAAAATATCATGTGAAAACTCGAAAGGGCACCTTTATTTTTTCTTGCTTACAGAATAATTCTTCTTGTATTACTCATAAAAGGGAGGTTGTAGTAATCGAAATTCTCTATTTAAGTTAGCGTAGGTTTGACACATTCAATTTGAACTATGAAGTGACGTGTCAAATTTACACTGTATAGCTAAAATGAATACTATAAAACACTATAAACTCTTATGAAAAAAGGTAACTTTTGGAGTTTATAGAACCTTCAAATCTTCACTGTATAACTAAAATGGATAGTATAAAACACCATAAACTTCTCTTAAAAAAACGTAATTTTTGGGGTTTATAGAACCTTAAAAAGTAATTTTTTATGCCCTTTAAATGTTAAAGATCTTGCAAATGCCATTGAGGTAACTTGATGTACATTTACTCCCTCACGTAAGAGAGCTATTTAGGAGGATCTTTTTTATCCCAAATTTTGTGACCTGCCTTAGAATCGCCATATGAGAATTTTCATGAAACAAAATCTAATTGTTTCTTGGGTAAGAGAGCTATTTAGAGGGATATTTTTTAATCTCAAATTTTGGGATTTGCTTTAGAATCACTAGATAAGTATTTTCAAAAATACAAATTATGATTTGGAGATCTAATTATTTTCTTCAAGCAAAAATATAAAACTTTACCTTCTGTATTTTATTTTGCTTTATTTATTTAAGTTAGTACTAGGTGAAGAGATTACATCCCAAAATTTGAGATCCTATAAATAGTCATAGATAAAGTTTTAGTAAGTTCATGATGATGGACTATGTGCTCCTGCAGAAACACACAACCTTTAGCAAAAAGTTGAGATTTGAGAAGCGTACCAACTCTGACTCAGCTTTGAAGAGAATGGCGAAGATGAGTCCGATCCGAATAAAAAGTGGTGCCCGCAAATACATTGTACTGAGGGAGGTTAAGGAGAAATTAGCAACAAACATTAACAAAAAAAGAAGGGAATTAATTAATCAAATTACAATATTTTTTTTATTAGAAGAAGTTTAGGGATTGTGTACATTTATCTTTGTTACAATGAGGTTATAATTATTTCTAGTCATTAGATGTCAATTTATATATGGCTTAAGATGTTTCATGAAATTCGAATTTTTTTTTTTTGTGAACTTTGAGTCGATTTAATGACACTCTTACAACCATCCGATTTGAAATCTGATGGACAAGAGTAATTATGGCATCCTTGTATGAAAAGTAAATGGTCTCTTTGCATACTTTTCCGAAAGTTTGTATAAGGGTGAGGTTGTAAACAATCAAATTGAAAAAAATTGAGGCGCACCTCAAAAATTCACTAGAAGAGGTTGTTTCAGTACTGGAAAACCCTCCATTCGATCATCTCGACCTCTGATGTATGGACATGAGACAAGATAAATTTCAAGTCTTAGAAATAGTGTATTTTATAGTGTATTTTTTGAATCATTAATTTAGTGTTCATAGATATGTTCGATCTATATTATTTTTGAATATTTAAATTTTATAATTAGAGTTGAAAATAAATTTTTAGGCCATCATTACTATTTTTTATACTGAAACAATATATTTCGACATTATTTGAAGGTGAGCCTTACTTTGATTGTTAAGGGCCTCAACCTTATACAAGCCACGCCCTTTTTTATTTAATTTGAAAGAACCTATAAAAACAGATAGTATTGAGTTGGAATAGTTTTATAAGAATAAATTGTTAAATTTGTGTTATAGGTATTTTGATAGAATTTCCTAGAAAAATAATATCGTTTGAGATAACTATTAAAATACAAGTGGCAAACGGATTCTAGTTTTATGAAGAGTATGGTTTAGACGTGTCAGGGGAGGAATATATTATAATTATAATAGATGTTTCCATCTGGCCATAATTTATAATTAATGTATAATATTGTTGTTCGTTTATTCCAACTATTTTATCATAATTAAAATTTATAATTAATGCATAATATTGTTATCGGCTTATTCCAACTATTTTATCAGAATTAAACATTTGAATGTTGCAAAACACTTATACGTAATAAATGTGAACTATCACAACTAATTCCAAATATCAAAACCAAGAAAGAAAGCTTTCGAGAAGAGATCGAAGTTAGATTTTTTTTTTTTTTAATAATAACTTAGGGACGGTTTCTATGCGGCCAAGCCTACATATGCAGAAATGAGGGCTTCTTAATAAATCTATTTTTTTGATGCATTTTGGGACTTAATTTTTAAGGACATGTAATCTCTAACTTGGAGATCATGAATATGAATAAATAAATAAAATTTAAAAACTAAAAATAATAATTCTAATGAGAAAATATTTGAACCATTAGTTTTGATGGAACACCTACTTGCATCCATACTAAAGATAGATGCTTTACACTTTCTGGATTCCATATGCAGAGATGTGGTTCAGCCTGGATGAAACAATTTTCCATAACTAAATCCAAATATCAAAACCAAAAAAAATAACTTTTAAAAAGAGATCGAAGTGTTATTTATTTATTTATTTATTTATTTAAATATAAATAATGAGTAAAATTCAAAATTTTGTTCCATTCATTTATGGACATTCCTTAAATTTAATATAAAATAGAGGACAATATGAGAGTGAGAGATATGCACCTCAAATGTGAAAAGGAAACGATGTTGAAGACAACAACACTTTGGCTGTTAGCAAACATTAGAGTAGGAAGCATACTTATGCATACAAATATTCCTGATCCAAGAAATGTGTATATAAACCTAAAAAGCAAATTTCAACTAGTACTACTAAAGATACACACGGAGTAAGCAAAACATAAAGGGAAGTTAAAAAGAAAAATATCTTCATATCTTTTATTTTTAGGTTTTAATTCTTGATAAACCCAATATTTCAAAAGATATATTTTCAAAAGATATCTTCTAACCCCTGGCCACTTTAAACTTATTTTTTAACCAAAGCAAATGTAAAAAAGACGTGTTATTTCTAAACCTAATCTTTTCTTTCTCTTCCCGTATTATATAGTCCAAACTTTTCTTTCTTCGAGTCTCTTTTTACTTTCTCTTTTCTCCCGTGTTTTTCCAAATACCTCTCTCTCTCTCTTCCCGGTAACTTTTCATCTTCCTGAAGCCTTTCTCTCTCGAGAAGTTTGGGAGGATGTCTTTTTAAAAAATATGTTTTTTTAGATTTGTTTGTCCTAAAAAGAAAATAGGTTTAAATTAGCTCGGGGTTAGAAGAAATAAAATCTACAAGTTTTATGCTCAAAGATATCTTTTAAAACTTGGGTCTATTATGAAATAAAACTTAAAAATAAGGGGTATGAAGATATTTTCCCAAGTTAAATTGATGGCTTATTTAAATCCGGTCTCTTTACAAAAATTTATTTTAGAAATGGATTTAGGACTTGAGACACATTCTAAGTCACTTTATATGCATTTTTCTAAGTCACTTTATGTGCATTTTTTTTCGCGTGTATAATTTTGTAATTTGAAAAATTGCACACATGATGGTTGCAAAAAATTGAAATGACCAATCTAAATTAAAAAGCTTAAATGGTTTATTTTTAAGGCTAAAAATAGGTATTGTTAGATTCATAGTCATATTGATCAAGTTCATAACTTTTAAAATAGGAAATATATATAATGATAGGGAAGTCACAGCAACTGTTAGATTTGAAATCAGGTGGTCAAGGATGTGCCATTATTTGTTCACAATGTCCAAAATAAAAATTCAAATTCTTGTTACACATTTTTATTTATTAGATGTCACATCCAATGACTAAAATATATCGTGACCTCTTTATATAAAAAATAAATGATCTCATAGTATATAAGCCCTTTAAAATATAAATATTAAGTCCAAAATCTATATCTAAGCATGGGCTCAAGCAACAAAATACTGTACACACTACATATCAAAGCACTGGTGAAAGGCCGAGAGTTGATTGGGTCGCAGTCAATTTAATCAAATTTTGGGGCTTTTATATTTTTGAAAAGGTGCGTCTTTTCTGGTCCGCCAAACCATCTAAATCACATGGTCCAGACCCCCAAATACATATTTAAGGAATTTTTCTTTATACGAACAAGTTCAGGTAGAAACCCCAAAAATTAATTTTATGACAAATAAAAATTAGAGCTCGGAAAATGCTTATCAGGGACTTGGACTCTAATTACTTTTTTTGAGGGACTCCATTGGTCTTAAGAGCTCAAAAACAATTTTTTTTTTTTTTTTCTTTTCTTTTCTTCAGGGTAATTCATGAGGTGAATGGAAATGAGAGGAAGATTTCCATATCAGAAAACATTCCCCAATATCTATTACCACTTAATGAAGTGGTTCCGATGGACCACAAAATCTTTTTCCTTGGGAAAATTTTCCTTCCATTTACTTTTTATTCACATTATAAACCTTATTACTGTTTTTATTTATATTGACCTTTTGATGAATGTTCTAGGTCATTATAGATGAAAATACCCATCAATAAAACACAAAAAGTTTTTCAGTATAATTCCGGTTGGACTATCGGGGAAAAATGGTACGAGAAGAGGTTGGTTCACCACTCCAAAGGTCGAACCAGCCTTAAAAATATGAACTTTTTTGTTTGATTAAGGGGCATTTTATCTAAGATTGCCTCGGGTTCGCCCCTTCAACGATCGAACCAGAAACCCTTCTCGTTTGACTGCTCGTCTAAAGAGTCAATACAAAGAGAAAAATAGTAACAAGGTTTATGGTGTAAATAAAAAAAAGTATAAGAGGCCTAAAGCTTGGTACAGTGGGTTTACATAATTTTCGGGTTTTTTTTTTTTTTAAACTTTTAGAGCAGTTTGCAAGCAGCTCCTACTGAACTTGGCCATATTCTGTAACAGAAGACTATGAATCACCATTTCCTCTCTCTCTCTCTACTAAATTCTAAAGCATCATTTCCAGTTCCTCTCTCTCTCTAAAATTTGAAATTATTGGAGATAGGAAGGGCGCCAATTACCCATCTCTCTATCATCCCTCTCACCGAAACTACTTGAAAAGTATGAATAGAGCCAATTCTCTTGTCCCTAAATAACCATCGTTGAAGTTGAGAGATAAAAGGGTGTTTGTTGATGCACAAGGGAGTGAAAAGATTGAAAGGCAGCTGAAGATTTAAAAATGAAACCGAACAGTCAAAATTTGCTTGTACCCATTATTATTAATTAAGACATGAAGGTCTCCATAGTTTCTTTCTTAAACAATAAACTAAACTCTAATGGGGAACTTTCTATGCGACCCCATCAACATATAAGTTATATGTGATCTCACTACATAGCCGTTCGATCTGAAAAAGATAGCTATGATTGTTCATACCACAATGTCACATCAATAGTTCATCTTGTTGAAGGGCTGGTATAGTGTCCACCTCATGGAAACACCACATTTTTTTTCCTTTTTGAGATTAAACTTTTTCTTGACTTTGCACAGTAAACGCTTTCCATCGGTGAAAGAGCTGCAAGTAGGATCTTTTAGATCTGAATTTTGAATGTACAAGACTCACTGCATCAGTATTCTCAATGGGGAAAAGTTTATATAAGGTTGCATCCCTAAAATATAGAACTAATGTCCACCACAAAAATTCATTATAAAAGATTATTTTCATGTTGGAAAATCATGAGTGATCATCGAGATATATGAATGTCACACAAGAAAAAAATATTGAGTCTTAAAAATAATTTAACTCGTAACACATTATCCGGACCGTCCTAAGAATTTTTGACACCATGTATTTATGAAAAGATTTGGAGGTGTCTTAATTTGATTGTTTAAGGTTACAACCTCATACAAACCACACCCTTCTCAATATTGTACTCTCAATATTTTTAATTTGGATTTTGAATCTTTAAACGCTTAAATTCGATCGCCCAAAAATTGAAAGGTCATGTTCAATCTTAGGATCTTATATTTTTTTTCAAGCATATATAGAGTGTGTATAAGTTTTCTTTTTTCTTTTCATTTTGTTGAATTGATCTTGTCCAATCTTAGGATGTTAAACCTTTTAGAGCACATATAGAATGTGTATAACTTTTTTTTTTGTTTTTTGTTTTTTAAATTGATCGCTAAATTGAGGCATGATTTTTCTTTTCCTTCATTCTTTTATTTAAATTGGTGGCTATGTATAGAGGCTCTTCTAGTAACAAGTTAATCCATGGGGCATTTAGATAGAACATGGTTTAATAAGACTGCAACTCTATCAAAATAAATAAAGCTCCACCTCATAACTCATAAAAAATTGTTATTTAAGCATTAAAAGACTTTTACATGGATCATCTCAACTTGAACATTATGGTTGTGAAAAAAAATTAAGATTTCAATCTCTAAAAATAGTGGATACTATAACAAATTATCAAGACTGTCCATTTTGTCTTAAAAATAAGCATATACATTTTTGTAATTCCAAATTAATTTCATGATAAGAAATTGATTGTAGAGCCATCATAGAGATTTGTCAAAAGTGCTTTCCGAAGAAATGAGATAAGGCCTTATTTTGTTTTGATAATACCCATGCTTTATAGGGACTTAATCCATCCTTTAGAGAGAGAGAGAGAGAGAGAGAGAGCCACTTCTCAGTTTTTCTTCTATATTCTCCTCTAGTTTCCTAGTACCTCCCATCCCTCGGCATTTGTCTACTCTCTCTTTGTTTCCTTGCATCTCCCATCCGTCTGTTATGACATCGAACGTCTTGGGAGGAGGTAAGAGGTTTGTAGAAAACCCAACTGCCGCAGAGGGGTGTAACCAGATCAGGCCCTGGGCTGGGACAAGGCAGACCAGGGACCAGTCCACTAAAATGAGGCCATGGCTCGATGGGCCCAAAAGGGGTCCATATGCAGCCATATATTCGAGATTGCCGCATTGCCCACCGTTGATAAGTGGCATAAAATAGGGCATACTGAGGCCCAAGCATACCCTTGGGCCAACAGGTCTTAAATCCAGGCACGGGCATGTTCAAAGGAGCCTGGAACCCAGCCCCCCGCTGCCTGGCCCATTTACACCCCTACAATGCTATCATTGAATACTGCTCTGAAATTTCTTTTGTTTTACACCTTCCATACATTTGGGAATTGAAGGGTGGCAAAGAAAATGAATAGCATAAGAAAGCCTCATCAGATTTTTTAGCATACATTTCTTCATAGATAAAAACCTTTTTGAGTGCTGTGAGGCTAGAAACATTAGAAATCACAGTAGCATCTCTCTCTCACAGCCAACCTCTGGTCTTTCAAGTCTCCAACAACTGAAAGAAAGAAAAAGCTAAAAACCAACAAATTTCTCCCCCTACAAAACTCCACCAAAATGGTGTAATCTCTTTCTTTTAGTGCCTACAAAGGAGTCAATGAAGAACTCAAGAACATATGTTTGCTCAAAGACAAAAAAAAATCAATGTGAGCCCTTTGCCAAGAGAGTAGAATTAGTCAATCCATCTTTACTCTGTCGAGTTCTCCAATTATCTCTTCGAACTGCTCGTGAAACAACAGAATGTAAAGAATCAAAACTTTGATTAATGCATGTAGTTAACATTCTTCCCCCCTGCTGCCCCCCCCCCCCAACCCTAAAAAAAAAAAAGTCCTGAGGTGAGAGATCTATGCATTGAGTTCCCACTCAAAAGGGTCAGATGCTTACCTTAATAATCTGGCGCATGAAATGATCGCCGTATTGCTTCGCAGACTTTGATTCTACAACATGAACAATATCCTATATCCAAACCAAGCAAACAAGAATGAAACTTGAATCCCAAAACAAACAATCTATAATAAATATTTATTGCAAAAAACAGTCATAAATATTTGCCTAACGCTGTAGCCCCAAACATGGAATATGTGATTTGTGTGTTGTGTGCGTGTGCATGTGTGCCTCCATTAGTGCCCATGTCAGCACAAAATTACCAGTTTTTTTGCTCTATTTTTTTGCTCTATTTAGTCTTTTTTATGCAAAATGATGAAATTTTTTCACTGCACAAAAATGGGTTGTAAAAAAGACTCGGCTTGCTTAACATCCAAATTCATTACTATGGAAATGGCTATTGAAATTCGCAAAACAATTATGCACACATCAAATGCATGTTAGCACAAGTATGCCTGGGTTACATGAGAAGCATGAAAAAGCATAGCACCAAAACAAGATTTGGGAGGCTTGGATCTCAGTCCATTTTAGCAATAGCCAAAAATTTCACCTTAAATTTGAAGGGTTAAATTAAACTAAATTAAAAAAATACAGAAGTAATATAAGAAAAAAGAAATAGGAAAGTGACAAGACAACAATAATGATCTTTTCTCAGACTAGTCTACAACACAACAAAAAATTCTGGATGAAAAGAAACTGTTAATGTTTGGCCTGTTCTTCTCAGGGACAAGCACTGACAGAAGCTATTTTGATTTAGAGAAACTATAACCTCCTACCTCATTGACATAGAATTCAATATCAGCATTTGAAACAATCTTCCCATCATTGTCCACTGAGTGAGTTTTGTGCTTGTAAGTCATCAAGATTGTCCTACAAAGCCCACAATTTCAAGCAATAAACTTTCACCATCATTTACTATAAAAGCAAAGAACAAAAGAAAATAAAAATAGAGATTGTCGAGCCCAACACAACATCCCAACTCAGCGTTTATTTCCTAAAATGCAGACCTTAAGGTTGGCTCATCGACTTCCATGAAAGATGCAAGCTTTGAGATTGAAATGGTGGTATAGAGTTTCAAGAAACTGCGAATTCCTGACAAAAGCTGCTGTTGCTTCACTTCATAAAGGAACAGTTTCAACTGAAGTCTATAACCATCCTGTAGCAGAGTAAGTTAAATGTTATAAATCATGGTCACGTAAAAAGCTCTGCATCTGCATGTTCAGGGTTAATCGTGGTCATTTAAAATGACGGAATGGTAACAAGCAAAAAATATCATAAAGAGAATAAAGAGGACATGAACATACATCACAACTAACAAGGTGAACAAGAAATAAACATCCATATTCATCTAAAGAAAAATGGTGATCACTTCCAATTCCTCAGTGAGTTATCAACACCAACTTGTCAACTCCCAAGCCTACCAAATCCTGTCCATGACCTCCTAGGCTCCTCCAATCACCACTCATCCTTACACCTTCTACACATTCCCAAAACACATTGAAAGGACATGGGAACCAGCAAAAGGCTGATGTTTGAGTAAAGAGAGAACAGTAGATCACCAAGGGCATATAATATGACCCTTGCATATATAATCATCTTCTTGCCACTGCTGTACTTCAGCCGGCAAGGTTTGGCTGGAGGATGGTTCAGTGATCTGATCATTCCAGCCTGCATCACTGTTGGACTTGAGGTCGTAGTCTATGTAACGGAAGGACACATTGATGCTAATTAACTATCAAATTATGATAAATCCATGTCTACTATACATCGATGCTAATTAAATAACGGATTACGATGAATCCATGTCTACTATACATCATCATCATCTATACATGGATGCTAATTAAATATCGGACTACGATGAATCCATGTCTAGTAGCAGATGGATCTTTAACTATGGTCGGGGTGTTGTTGCATGGGACTGCAATAAGCAAATGTGTATCTCTAGATCCACCATGGAATCGGAGTTAGTAGCCTTGGAAGCTCTATTAGACAAACAGGATGGTTAAGGAACTTGTTGGTAGATGTACCACTATTTCAAAGGCCAATGCATGCCATGTCATTACAATGAAATTGTCAAGCATGGTATACCAAGCGTCAGTGGGGGGCAAAAATGGATTGCGGAAAGTCAAGATATATTTGCTGAGGCGTTATCAGTTGAGACTTTTATTTGAGAATGGAGTTATTTCAGTGTCCGATATCAAATCTAACCACAACTTGGCGGACCCATTACCAAAAAGCCTTGCAAGGGAACAACTCTAGAAGACCACTAAAGAGATAGGATTGAAGACCAACACAAGTTTTATGGCACAGAGCGATGGGAACCCCACCTAATGAAAAGAAGATCCCATGTCCCAGGTTCAAAAGGAAAAACAAGTCACCCATGTAAGGTCGAATATGTTTTGTATCACAATATTATTAATGAAAATTTTACATATCTACCCATCCTTGGCTGTGTGATACGTTGTACTGCAATTAATGGAGAGGTTGAGTTATGCTCTTAATGTGTCAATTTCCCTTGATGACATAATGCCTAGGATGGGTGTTGGCTATAGGGCACCTTCGGTGGACTCACCTTTGTAAGTGTAACCTCATCCCAGGTTAGAGATTACCTAATTTGGTCCATCACTGGATGGGCACTAAAGAACATGGGAAGCAACATAAGCAAGTGACAGAGTTGTTAAAAGGGGCTAATTCGAGAAAGCATGAGCCCTTGTGCTATTCTAGGCCCCTTAACACCCAAAAAAGATGGTCCAAGGTGTATGTACGTGGATAGCAGAGCTATTAATAATATAACCAACAAGTACAACTTTCGAGTATTGCAGCTTGGATATATAGTCTGGTGCTTGTATCTTTTCCAAAATAGATCTAAGGAGTGGGTATCATTATCATTCAATCCGGATAAGGTGATGGACATAATAGGACTTCAAAAGCAGAGGACCTTATGAATGGATTGTGATGCCTTTTGGTTATCTAATGCGCCTAGCACGTTCATGCAAATGATGATTCAAAATTTTCGGCCAAATATCGCTAATTATTATTCTCTATTTTGATGTCATCCTTGTGCATGGGACTAATGTTGATGAGCATCTTACTCAACTCCACCAAAATTTTGAGGAATGATTCAACCTTAAAAAGTGCATTATTGTGACAGATAACCTTGTCTTTTTGGGTATTGCAGTGTCCAATAAAGGCATGCAAGTTGATTGACATAATGTATATGAAATTGTGAACTAGCCAACCCCTATACATAATGTATATGCAATTGTGAACTGGCCAACCCCTAAACAATAATGGGACATTCGTAGCTTCCATGGCTTGGCGTCATTCTCTAGAAGGCTTCTTACAAATTTCAGTATGGTTATTGCAACCATAGTTGATTGCATGAAGAAGAGTTTCCACTGGGTTTGTGAAGCAAATGAAAACTTCCACCTTATAAAGATAAGATGACAGAATCCCTGACGCTAGCATAGCCTGATTTGAAGAAATTTTTTGAAGTAGGTTGTGATATCTCATATATCAGCATAGGTGTTGTCTACGCCAAGAGGGAAACTCTACTGCTTTCTTTTTTTTTTGAGGAAAAGTGAATGATGTAAGGACCCGATATTTTGTGCAAACCCATAAGCATCAGATGCATCATCTCATTCAAAAGGAGTTTGTTTTGTATTTCGATCATGAGGCCCTTCAAGACCTCAACTCACAAAGAAAGCTTAATCATTGGCATGCCAAGGGGGTTGCTTTCAAACAAGAGTACGCACTTGTCTATCTAGTTTTCATAACCAGATGGCTGATGCCTTCAGTCGACATATCCAGTTTGCTCGGGGCCCGGACTAGGGTGCCTTTCTCATTTGTATACTCTCCCTTTCAGGGAGCACCGCTTGTAACACCTGTAATTCTTAGCAATACAATGTTAACATTCCCAAAAGACATTCTATGCTTATAATATCTTTACCCATGAATTCATTGGGTTTGAGATGTAAAATCCAATATGTTGATGATCCCTACATTGGGCCAATATGGCAAAGGTGTAAGCAATGTGACGATCTTTCAACTAAATATATGTAGCACAATGGCTATTTATTTTAAGGTACACAATTGTGCATTCCTGACCAGTCTTTTTAAGGGAAAACATAATCAAGGAAAATGGAGAGATTGATGAAGATGTCGCACATAGAATTAGAGCTAGGTGGGCGAACTGGAGATGTACACCGGAATTTTATGTGATCGCCACATGTCAATGAAGCTAAAGGGGAAGTTCTATACGACAATTGTGAGATCAGCTTCGCTTTAGGGGGCGGAATGTTGGACGGTGAAGAAACAACATACCCATAGGATGTGTAGCTTAGATAAGGATGTTGGGATGGATGAGTGACAAGACAAGAAGGGAAAGAATTTGAAATGAATACGTTATAGAGAACTTAGGTGTGACTCCAATAGGAAACAAGATGAGAGAAAATAGACTTCAGTGGGCCGGCCATGTGCAGTTAGGAGATGCGAGTTGGTTCAAGTGGAACGCTAAAAAAGGGCAAGGGTTATGTTGCAAGTAGTGAGAACAAATATGGGGACTTATGACCTCACTGAGGGTATGGTCCTTGATTATATAGAATGGCATACCAAGATTCGTATAGCCGGCCCCAAATAGTTGGGAAATGACTTTCATTATGATGATGGTGATGGTCTTGGTGCTCATTTTGGGCAATCCAAAACCATTGCTTTGGTGGAAAGTACTCTTAGCTAGGCCTAAGCTGGATATGAAGCGTATCCAAGTTTGCCAACTTTCATATGGTCAATCTCAGAATACTGGTCTTTATGTGCCACTTCTACTTCCTAGTGCCCCATGGGTTGACATAAATATGGATTCGTTCTTGTACTTTCAAAGACATCAAGGTGTATGGATTTTATATTTGTAGTAGTGGACCAATTTTCAAAATGGTCCAATGTACAACATGCAAGAGGAATTTTGATTCTTCAAATGTGGGTGATTTGATTTCAAAGAAATTGTACATTTACATGGTGCTCCTAAGACCATTATTGCAGATAGGGACATTAACATTTCTTTGAGTCAATTCCGCAGGAGCTTGTGGATCAAGATGGGAGCTAAATTACCACATAATAGTGCATATCACCGTCAAACTGATAGCCAAACTGAAGTAGTCAATCAATGCTTTGAGAATCTACCAAGGTACCCAGCAGGTGACAGAACTTCTCAATTGGACTTGGTGCTTCCCCGAGCTGAGTTTGCCTTCATTAATTCTATTCATAGATCAAGCAAGTATCAATCTGAGATTGTTTATGACCAATGCATGTTCCAGATGATGGCGACCTAAGCCCAACAAATCCATGAAGTGCAAAAGAAGTTGCAGCCAATGCCCTTGTGCGTCTCAAGGCTTATGAAGTTTTTTGTTTTTTTTTTTCTTTATGAAGGTGGAGATCTCTTTATGGTGTATCTAGTCAATAATATTTACAGGTCGGATCCTACCCAAAGCTCAAATTTAAGAATTGCTCATCTTGTATATGTACCCAAAGATCTGCAACTTTCTCCTATTTTCAATGTTGCTGATTTTTATGAGAAAAGAAGATTGGTTAGAGCACATGCCTACAAACCACGAAGACTTCCCAAAGAATATAGCAAATATGACATAAGAAGTGATGAATACTGGGGCATGGATTTGGGAGCCCCCACCATTTGCCAACAGAAATGTCGCCCCACCTTAACTGCATATTTTATTGTCAAATTATAGAGGCTAGCTTGCTGGAGTCAAGTTTCCTCTAACCTGGGGGAATGAAACACAACTCTTTTAAACTCGAGAGCTTCTAGGAAGTTGAGTATGTAGGTGCATGCTCACTTTGGAAACAGTACATGCATTTTTTGGGAATTAGGTTTGCGCATTTGGGAGTTGTGTTGAAGCATGGGATTTGGGAACACGGCATTTTGGGGAATTATGTTGAAGCATTAAGAGCATGCCTCTTGGGAAATTGGTGCATAATTTTTTGAGGTTTGTATGAGTAGGTTTATTTCCCCACATGTAGGCAAGGCCAAAGTTAGGTTGACGAATACATTGGGTATCTATTTTTCACAAAAAGAAAGCATGGAAAGCTTAGAGTTTTATTTGAGGAGCTTTGTTAGGAGAACAAAATTTCAGTTTTGAATTGATTCTTAAACAATTTTAGGTGGTGTAGAGCTTCGTTTGAGCTCTCTCCTAGTTGTTAGATTGCTCTTATATGTTGAAGGATCTCCTTTGGTTTTGGGCTTTATTTCATTTTCTTGTTGAACTCTTTCTTCCATTTAGTTACTTTTTTTTATTCTTTATTCTTTTTTTGGAAAATGTTAACCTTGAATTAAGGACAAGAGATTACAAAGAACAAAAAATACCTGCCCAATTGCTTCTGAATATTCTTCAAGATTAGCATTTAATAATATTCTAATTGATTATCGCATGAAGTTATGAACCACACTATGAAGCTGTGGGAGAGAGTGATTGAGCAACGACTAAGGCATTAAATGAATGTATCAGAATCCAATTCGGTTTTATGCCAGGGAAGTCAACAATTGAGGCTATTTCCCTAGTAAGGCAACTGATTGGGAAGTTTAAGGCGAAAGGAAAAGACCTCCACATGGTCTTTATTGATCTAGAGAAAGCTTATGATAGAGTACCTCAACGTTTAATTTGGTGGGTCCGTGGGTGTTGGAAAAGAAAAGAGTCTCCGAGTACTATATCAATTTGATGAGAGAGATGTACGAGGGAGCACTAACCAATGTGCGAACTAGTGGAGAGACGAGTGAGTTTTCAGTGACAATAGGTCTACATCAGAGATCAGCGTTGAGCTCATAGCTCTTGGTCTTGGTTATGAACGACTTAACTAGGCACCTACAAGATGAGGTATGTTGTTCGTGGACGACATAGTTTTGATTGATCAGACCTGAAGCAGCTTCAACAAAAAGTTAGAACTTTGGAGGGATGCTCTAAAATCTAACTGTTTTAAAATTAGCCGGACAAAGATGGAGTATATGGAATGCAAGTTTCGTAATAATAGGAGTAGAGATGAGGAAGTTATTAAGATTGACAACCAAGAAATACAAAAAAGCGTGCACTTTCCATATCTTAGGTCGATAATCCAAGAAAATGAAGAGATTGAGGAAGATGTTGCGTTTAAAATTACAGCTAGGTGAGCAAATTGGAGTTGTATAACTGCAGTTTTATGTGATCGCTGTATACCAATGGTGCTAAAGGGGAAATTCTGTAGGATAGTTGTGAAACCAGCTTTGCTTTATAGGCAGAATGTTGGACGGTCAAGAAACAACATACCCATAGGATGTGCAGCTGAGATGAGGATGTTGAGATGGATGAGTGCCAAGACAAGAAATGATAGAATTACAAATGAATACATTTGAGAGATCTTAGGTGTGACTCAATTAGGCTATAAGATGAGAAAAAGTAGACTTATGTGGGCTGACCATGTACAGCGCAAATCCAATACAGCACATGTTAGGAGGTGCGAGTGGAGGCTCTAAACGGTAAGCCCATATCGACATGATTGGAAGAAGTGAGAAAAGATTTGGGGACTTAAAATCTCACTAAGGGTATGACCCTCAATAGAGCAGAATGGCAGACCAGGAATTGTGTAGCTGGCCCCAAATAGTTGGGGAAAGGCTTTGATGATGATGATTATCACATGAATTTATGCTTTGACCAAAAGAATGGAGGAAACAGTCCTCATATGAGGTAAGTTGGGGGCTGTACACATACCAATCACTAGGTCCCCCATCACATAATCCTTCCAACAATGCACACACTACACCTCCTTCACAAGCCTTCTCTTTCATGTTCTACCTCCACAAAGCTTCTCTTTCATAATTTCATGCTTTCATTTCCACCTCCCAAAAGTGTTACCATGAGAATTACCTCTCTTTCATGTCTCCTCAAATCAACCACATGTATCAACAATAGGAGGTGTCTTAACAACATATCAAAATCCTCAAAATTCCACCTTAAATTTCCTAAATACCACACGAAAGAATACTCATGTTCCTTCAAGAAAGATCCTATTTTCATTGCTATATAAGAAAATAATTTCTTATATATATATATATTCGTTATAAGAAGCATCTTTCATTCCCCACCATCTTACCTTCATCCATATTCCATATTACCCTTAAAATTCGACCATGTACCCATCCTATCCTTAAATCTATACCCTTGAATAAAATGAATAGAACCCCTCACTTTTCATTTCCTACAGTGTTTTTAAAGTCAGACTAGGGCTTGGAACAAGATAGGGCCCCATTCCGAGTCAACAAGTCAGACTCGGCCCCAAGTTCTTAAGAAGTATAACACACAAACATCAAAAATATGTTTGAAGAGTCAATTCCAGTGGTTTTCCAACCGGTCTGGCACCCTCCCAAGCATGAGGGAGTTTCAAAAATTTGTTCTCATAACTTGGCTAACCCTCATTAAACTTATGATTGACTGCAATACCGTATAAATTGAAGCCAAAAGATTTCCTACTCCCGCAGGAGTATATTGTCTGTCTACTTCCTCGAGTAAAACTAATGCTAGCAATATTTCTTTAGATCCCAAATTTTAAGGATTTAATCTTTAGAACCCAGGGACCAACCTCAAAGGAAAAAAAAAGTTTCACTAAAAAAAGTGACATCCTAAGATTGCACATGAACCGTCAAATATTCAGAGGGAAAGATATATATGTTCAAGAAATCAAATTCCAAATATCTTTCTTTGATAATAATTATCTAGTGATACTCGGATGGATCCCAAAACCAATATTTTTCTTTGATATAATTATTTAGTGATACTTAGATGGATCCCAAAACTTAGACTCAAAAAACATTTAAGTAGCTATCTTACCTGAGGGAGTTATTGTACAGTATGTGCTCCCGAGGGAGTATGCTATAGGTGCTCTAAATTGAATCCTAAGTTCATACAACCGTTTCGCTCCAGTCATAAAAACTCCTTCCTTTTTCACTTTTTCTTTCATACCTTCAACCCCATTGCAATTTAGTCTTAAACAACCTTAACATAGCAAAGTATTTCCAACAATCACCATCATCTATTGCTGGTACCGCATTCTGACACGTATTCCTATCTCCCCTGAAACTCGAGATGTATCTCTTCTTATGTACCCCTATCCAAACACCATCATCCTTTTGCACTCAGCCTCCTCATCACAGGCCTCCCGTCCAATAACTTCCTTTTCATCCCCTCTCCTCCCTTTCACTTCCACCCAACAGGCAACAAAATTTTTTTCTAATGTCCCCTGCAACTCCGAACATGTCTCTTCTTAGTACCCCTATCCAAAAACCACCTTCTATTTCCACTTAACCTCGTCATCACGGTCCTGCCTCCAATAACTTCTTCCTTTTCATCTCCTCACCTCCCTTTTCGCTTCCACCCGACAAAAATTAACCACCCAACAGAAAGAATAGGTGAATTACCACATTCTTGTGAGTGTGCATGTCTGAATGCATGCCTATGCATGTCTATATGTGACCATCAAATAAAATAAATTTCAGAGAACATAGAGAACTACATGAGTGCCTGTTATCTTTTCCTTTTCGATTCAACCCAATGAAAGCTTATTTCATCAAAGTTAACCATTTCTCAAAAAAAAATAATCTTATTTCATCAAATTAAGATCTGCAGTACACACCTGGTTGTAGTTGACGAGAGGCTCTTCATAGATGGGAGCCGAAGGGGTGATGAATTTGGGACAGGCATAAGAGAATGCTTCATCATATAGTGAATATGCCTCATCATCATATCTCTGCATTCTAAGCATTTTATCCCCATACTTCTCCCTCAGTTGATTGTTAACATTTTCCTCAATAAGCTTCACTTGAGGACATAAAGAGAGGCATACTGCCAGCAAAGCATACATCTGCTCATTTTTCTTCAAGATCTGATCAAATTGAGGAGATTTCTGATGATATTGTTTGTTCTTCATAATATACAAGAGCACTTTGTTAAACTCTCGTATTGCTTCCACATACCTGCCAACAACCTCAACATTGTTAGGCATCATTCAAGAATTAAAATACACAACATCACAGTAAATTGATTTTTCTTTGGAGTTTGGACGGTAGAGATCGTGCCCGACAAAAGAAACTAATTTATGCATTATATAAGCAGAAAATAAAGCAACTGATACTGCTAAGCATGAACAATGTCCTACCACAGAGTTATCAAATCTGAATGGATTGATAAGAATCCATTAAATAATTAATCTACCAAACTACATAAACTGAAGCTTCATTCAATAGTGCATTGTTGATGCCATGAGCTTCCTTTGGTTCAATTTGGATAATTCCCGTTCATCATTGACCTAACAATGCAATTAGAATATTTTTTATGAATAATTACAATTTGATACAACCGATTGTCCTCTCTCCGTCTCCCATAGTACCCTACTTACTCAAATGATCAAATGCATCACCTTGTACCAAAGAATTCAACTATCCACGAAGTGTTTTAAATTTCTAATCTAGCCGTAATGATTATTTGTAAGTATGAGTAATTCTCTTCGCTAGTGGCAACCTTTCTTCAGAAAACATAATTTCACTTTCAAGTTCTCTGATTTATTTCATGTGCTCCACCTTTACCATTTTCATAAGTTGATTTTCAATAAAATTATCATCTTGGTCTTTCTGTATTTCCATGTGGAGTACATCCCACTTCAGCAGAGTTACATTACCATGCACAAACTTGGCCATTAAAGACAAAAAACAAATTGCCCCTCCAAGTTCAATAACAAAAAGTGAGAGAGGAACGAACGTCTCCTTATTCGACATGCATGACACAACAATTGCGTTAGTAAACATACCTTCGCAGCATGAGGTTTGCAAATCCATAATGGTAAATAGTAGTAATGTGGCTTCCAATGACTGAAGTATAGACTCCTGGTTGGCTGATGTCAATGGGAGCCAGACACTTGAGCCCAGTATAATAATCTCCCAAGAGGCAATGGACACGAAGCAACCCCACAATACTAAAATATCCCAATACTTTGAGAACATTGCTCCCACCATTATAATCATAGCCATCAGTAGCAGTAAACTGCTCAAGACCTTCTTTCTCTTGTTCCAAAATCTGTATGATCATGGACTTCTCCACTAGAGCTTGCAAGAAATTGAACACACCGTACACGTTCCATACCTGGAAAAAATCGACAATTTTTGTTAATAGGATTCAGATATGGTGGAGTATAAATCCCAATCATAACCTAGCTTTAAAGAAAATATTCTTCCAAGTAAAAGCCAAGAATGCAGCTATGAAGACAAATAGCTAGCACTCTCAAGAGATGCTGAGAAAAACATGCGACATAATCTAGATAGGACTCATAGTAATCCGAATGTATAGGTTCTGTATAATAATATTATCTTCCGAACACGCAAGGATCATAAATACTTAAGGAGAAAAGGATTTCAAAATACAAACATACCTCATATGCTCACAAACTGCAGGAATGTAAAAGGTTAATAACTATTCACCAAAGGCGTTCACATCAATGTATTCAAATCTGGAGCTAAATTGCCAGTTTAGTCCCAATTCAGACTTATTTTCTAAAACCAAAAAATAATAGCCAATTCGATCTGAACTTGATGATTCAGCTTGTTTTGGTCCACTCAAGCCCAAACCAATTTAGTTTGGCGCTGATTCAACGGGATACAACTGATTTAGTCATGATGAATGGAAATATGAAGCTTGTCCCTCAAACCAACTCATTTATATAAAAATGGAAAACCAAATAACTTAAGTATTTAACCATATAATCTGATAATAACCATATAACCTCATAAAAACCCATAACAGTACAAAAATAATATTAAATAAAAAAAATCCTAAGAATCCAGTTAAAACTTGAAAAATAAGCTTCTCACCAATAATAAAAAAAAGAGCATTCCACCGCCCACCCCCCAAAAAAAAGGAGGGACAATTGTAAGGAATAAAAAAGGGCTAAAGAGTAAAACTAAAGAGTAAAACCAAAGAAGGGGGCTAAAATAAGATAATGAGGCAATTAATGTCATTCAAAAATGACAATGAGCAAATGAACAAAATGAATCAAAACACGAAATCACAATCAAACAAATTAAAAGAGGTGAAAGAGATATTGGCTAATTTGATTTCCCTAATTTCCACAAATGGCAAACAAATTCCAACAAAAACCAAACCAGTAAAACTGCAAAATCCCTCACCTGATCATACTGCCTCAACAAAGCAATCTCCTGGTCAGTCTTGTTCTTGAGCTTCGCCCTATACTGACAAAATGACTGGAACTGATATATGAACTCATCAATCATATCCCATAACCATTGGTTAGGGAGCTGCATATTAACCACCCCATGTAACACCACCTGAAACAAGTTGCAGTAATTATCCCAAGACTCAATTCTATGTTGCAGTGTAGGCGAAAGCCTCGCATAAAGGTGCCTATACCACATTTCCTGATAAAGCAAGCAAAAGACATGGTCGTTATCGACATGGGGTGCGATGGCTTCGACTGATGGCCATGGACAATCCTTGAACAATCTCTCAGAGAGCTTGTGAAAGCTCCCTTCATACATTTGATATATTTCATACACATTTTTCTCCCTGATGTGTCTGTAAAGGATGACGACGAAGGTTTTAACCGAGTCGGGAACAAACATGGGGTTATATGGAACATCAGTTTTGGATGTGGGCTCATCATATGTCTCATCGTAGTCTCGAGTGTATGGTTCATAGGCCATGGTTAGAGAGAGAGGTTATAGATGCAGAAGGTCCGGTACAGAGAGTAGAGATAGGGAAGGTTTTGAGATGAAGGTCTTATAGAAAGGAAAAGATGGGAAAGTTGTGTAAATACAAGAGAGAGTCACAGATGCCTCTTCGAGAGAGAAGAGAAATGTGAAAAATGCGTTGATGAGCGAGGGATGGATGAGCTGCACAGAGAAGAGAGGAGAAATGTAAGTAAAGTTAGATACAGCAACAGATGCAAAAATTGTTTTGAGAGAGATGCAAAAGTTAGTGTGAAGAGAGAGATTATAATTGAAACAGCGAGAGATGTAAAAGTTAGTGTGAAGAGATTACAATTGAAACAGAGAGAGATGCAAAATTTATTGTTAAGAGAGAGAGCTTACCATTGAAATGGAGAGAGATGCAAAAAGTTAGTGCGAGAAGAGAGAGTTTACCATGAGACAGACAGATGCAAAAGTTAGTGTGAAGAGAGAGATTACAATTGAAACACAGAGAGTGGGGGTAAAAATTGCAGTGGAGACTCGAGAGAGAAAGGATATAGAGAGAGATACCTGTTGATGAGAGAGAAAGAGAAGCCTCTTGACCTAAAAACGCAGAGAGAGAGAGAGAGAGAGACAGACAGGGCTTGGGCGAAGGGTTTTTACAGTGAAAGAAGAGACGAAACCATTCTCTCTGTGCCCTAAGGGAAACAATGCTATGGCACGTGTCTATACTATAGAAATGTTGACTATGTAGAAAGGGAGTCTGTGATCCACATGATCCTATGGTCACTAATTATCACGTAGCTAAGCTAGGGTCACTAATTATCACGTAGCTAAATGGAACTTTTATTTTAAGGATCGTATACAATGAGGCTATATATCTTTGATATAAGGAGGTGACAATTATTGATTGTCATTAGATGTAGAATTGGATGGCTTGGGGTATGTTATAAAGTTATAATAATTTTTTTTGAATTTGGAATCTAGTAAATGACATACTTACAACTACTTAGATTTGAAATATGGCGGGCATTAATGATTGTGACTTCTTTGTATTAAAATAAATAGTCATACTGTATACTTTTTCTTTTTAAATTGTTATGTTTTTTAAATAAACAAAAAGTAAAATTTTCTTAAATAAAAAATTGTTTCATGTGGGTTGGACCACATTTCTATATATGCGGTCCAGAAAGTGTAAAGCATCCATCTTAAAGAGGGATTCAAGTAAGTGTTCCATTTAAAAACAATATTGTCCGCATGTTTTATTAATAGAATTATTATTTCTATTTTTTAAATTTTATTTATTTTTTCATATTCACGTTCTCTATGTTAGAGATTACATGTCCTTAAAAATTAAGTCGTAAAATCCATCTAAAAAATAGATTTATTAAGAGGTCTGCATTCCGCATAGAAACCGAGTCCTTTTTAAGTATCTCATATATCTCTTAACATAAAAAACACAGGGATTGTATACAGTGAAACCATTTACTTTTGGAATTTTTAGTACAAGGAGGTCAAATTACTTGTAACCCTAGCTGTGAAATCGGATAGCTTGGGTGTGTCGCATAGTTTGAAAAAAAATCGTTTAAATGTTACGCTTGGTCAATGGAATAAATGCAGCTGTCCAACTTCACATCCAACTGTTGATATTAACTGTGACTACCTTGTGCAAAAAGTAAAAAAAAATTACAAAAAACTCCCTTGACCCAACCAATTTTTTTATCGCAACATTTACCTCAAAATAAACTTTTCTAGCAAATACTCCAATCAAAAAGTTATAGTTTTTATGATCAAAATGCCCTCTCTCTCTCTTCTAACATCGCTTGCTTAACTTTTATCATAAAAAAAAAAACGGTCCGGCAGTATAAGTAACATGGGCCTAATGCCAGACCATTCTTTGTCAGTGTCGAACTAGCAATAGGCCCATGTTTGACAATGACAAAGAATGGTCTAGCAAAAAGGCGGTTCGACACTGACAAAGAACGGTCTAACAATAGGCCCATGCATTCCAGCACTGCCAAAGAGCGGTCCGGTAACAAGTTCAAAGTGCGAACTTGCAATGTCAAAGAGTAGTCCGACATTTTTTTAGTTTACCAGGGCTTGGCAATTGGTACATGGCGGTCCGGTAGCCCATATAGCTTTTGATATTGTGCGTAAGTCCACGTGAATGTTAGGTCAAAATTAAAATTTTATGTATAAAAAAAGGTATTTTTGTCAAAAAGTCATGCTTTTTTTTTACTTGGGGGTATTTGCTAAGAAAGTATATTTGGGGTGAAAAGTGGGGACAAAAGTTTAATTGGGGTAAGTTGCATAAGTCTCTTATTATATATTTTTATAGGGTGAGGTTTGTATAAGGTTGCCCCCTTATACTGTAGAAGTCATGTGTACTTATAAAATTCACTTAGAGATGCCGTTTTGGCGTCGAAAATCTTATGATAGTTTCACAATCTCTTTTTATCTTCAATTAGAAAATTTAAAATTTAAAAAATAGTACAGATCAAGCAGATCAATAAATACTTGAAAATTTTGAAAACAAACGGTTTAGATAATTTTTTATAAGATGTATTATTTTTTAAACTTAAAATTCTTGTTTTCTTCATGTCCATTCATCTCAAGGTCGAGATGATCACTCGGTGGTTTCTCCTCGGGAACATTCTCTATTAACGGATTTTTGAGATGCAGCTTTCCTCAACCGTATAAAGTTGCAACTTTATACAAACTTTTTTCATTTTTATATTACTTATTTTTTTATATCGTACGGTGACATCTTTTCTTTCTTTTTCTTTTTTTTTCCAAAATAGCATCAATTCAAAATTTCAAAATCTAAATTGGTGAACTGACTTTTTAGAAAATTCAGCAGTACAGAACTTCATGTCCCAGATAAAGATTATTATGAAACGAGTGACATGATGAATTTTTAGGGTTTAGAGAAAATTCAAAATAGTTTATGATTGTGTTTAGCACTTCAAATTACACATGCAATAAAACTATCTGCCCTTGGGGGAGCAAATTGTACATTTGCTACTTCAGGCAAAACCCTGGTTGCAAGTATTTTTAGGTTCCAAAATTTTGAGGATGGAATCTACTCAATATAGCAACCAGCTTAAAAGAAATGGAGAAGCACTCTTCCTCTGCCAAAAAAAAAATCACACCTTAGGATTGAGAATAGACAATCCAATTTTCAATTTATGGATTATTGGATCTAAGTTAGGAATTGTAAATTTTCCTAGTTACTTTGTAGTGTTATTCCTTTCATTTTGTTTTTAAAATTATTCATACAGCGATTTTAAAGTGGATATCCGAGTTTCATATCGAGAAATTCCTCCCAAGTAGGTCTTTTATCAAAGGGAGCAACTATACAATTTGCAGCCGCGTGAGCCATGATATATGCCTCACAAGCTAAGCAAGCAGGAGGAATCGAACTTGAAATGTAGCATTGCTAAAAGATTGATAATCACTCAAACCCAAGCCCAAGCCCAAGCCCGAGCCCGAGCCCTATTCTTAATGACCATTTCAAACACTCATGGTTGAAAAGTGCTATAGTACTTCGTTCAAGGACTTCAACTGTCTACCGTGGGTGGTTTCAACTTTCGGGAGCAGACAAAAGTTCTGGATTTTTGATCAATCTGCCAGTCTTTGAAAGAAGCATGCCCGCCATACCTCTACTATTTACGTTACGCGGCGGTTGACAAATCTTATTTGGATGGTTAGGATCATATGATAACTTATGAATACCCCATCTTTTCCCTAGGTACATTGCCCTCCCTTGAGGATGTTAAGTTGTGGCTTTATTAAGTCACACCTCAAATCTCACAGGAAAGGCATTAATTGTATCCACCTCGACGATCATGGATATAAATTGCAATGCCTTTTTTTGGACCGTCCATTTCAAGTTTTCACAAATCCATTAGATCCACAGCATTTTTGGAAAACTACATTCGGGATGGAAAATGGATTTACAAGTCATCAAGAGGTTTTTCAACTCTGGAACTATATTTTTTGGCAGGGTTTCGAGGTGCAGCCTTACTAAATTTCATAATCTACAAGAACGATTTATGAAGAAAGAAAACAATTATGTAAACTGACACTGAGCAAAATAATAAAATGCCAAATCTCAAAGAAAAATGAATAATTATCACAGATAGGGCTATTTCTCGAAACAAGGAAAGGCCTAGAAATTTGTACTTGGAGAAACAGAGATGGAGGGGAGAGAACCGAAGAGTGGAAGGAGAGATAAATGGTATCTTTGGTACAAACTAACTAAAATCATTTTAGTCACCAAGTGTGAAATCGAATGGCTGAGATTGTACCATTGACCATGTTCAAAGTTTGAAAAAAAATTTCTCAAATTTATATAGAGAAATGACACACCCAACGATCTGATTTTAGATTTGATGGTTTCAGCTTGCCTGAGTCCACTTGAACTCGGGCGAGTCCTTTGGTGGGGCCAAGTTCCCCCAAGTTGGGTGCATAGCTCAAGGATTAAAAAAAAATCAATTTTTTTTTTTTTTATAATATTTTTTTCATATGATCTGGATGCATTTGGTAAATATTAAGAAGCATTTTTTTTTGCCATAATCAATATTTTTGTATTTTCCTCTTTGTCCCAAACTATAAATCGTTTTCTTTCAAATCCATTTTCCTCTACATTTTTTTAAGCTTATTTAAAATTTTAAAAATTGTTTCAATTTACGTTTACGTGTTTATTATTTTTCAAAAGTTTTTTTTTTTAAAAAAATGTTTTTGGGCCCAATACGCCTTGTGCTGAACTCCGCTAAGTTACGCCGCTCGGCCAAAGGCCAAGTATACTGCCCGAGTCGATTTTCCATGAACTGCTTGAGGGTTAATAACCTTAGATACCAAATTTAGCACTCTCATTGCATACAAACCCCATTTAAAAAAATATATATATTCCAACTTAATGGAGGGAATAATATACCACACAAAAATGTCCATCCACCTGAGCATGTCTCTTGCTCTTGAGAATGAGTAAGTTACACAGAGTGAGTCCAAAAACTATGTCAAAATACAAAAATTTTATAGCAAAAAAGGAAAAGAATCATGCTTTCTAAGTCAATTCAACTCCCCACATTGCGCTATTTTCTAAAATAATTAATGGAGAAAGCCAAAGATAATGAAATCATCCACTAATTTTCATTATCTTTTATGCATCCTCACATTGTAAACTAGTCCTTATCTTTTGTAGGGTACATGATAATAGAGAATTTACAGATTCAACTGACTCCATGCTTACTTTGGCACTTGGTGAAGTATTGGCTAAGATTTGGAATGCAATGGTTAATAGTGATCCTCCTTCACTTGCCCTGTTCTTTGGCCTTGAGGTTATAACCAAAGGCCTACTCTCCATTCCATCAGATACAACAGAGAAGCCTGATGGCAGTATGGGCAAATTGCTAGAATCACAACCAGACATGACTGATTGCATGCCCACAATGTCAACTGGGGCATAAACCATCATAGATTCATAAGAATTGGTGCTACAGTCTTGGAGTATCCAGACACTGCTCTCCTTTGTTTGCGTCGCCTGCACTCGAGAAACAATTGATAATAAGAGAGAGAGAGATCATTTTATGTGAAAGAAAGGAAAAACGACCGATTTATATTTTTTGTTTGGGTAATTCAGTGGGGATAACGAGCCCCTACCCATTTTACTTATACTAAGAGAGGGGGACATGCCATTGAGTGTGTGTCTATGTCATCTAGACACCCATTCTTGCTGAAGTATAAAAAATGTGTAGATATTTGGACATGGTGTCAATAATTCCAGATAGTAGAACATCTAAATATATAGAGCACAAGGTGGGGGGTTTGAACGGGGTCCAAGTTTGTGAGATCTATGTGTCAACCATATCTAAACACAATAAATATGATCTGTTTGAAAAGTAGGGTTTTCTTAGGGTAATCTTATATATGAAATATTTTTTTGATGTACTTAATATTTTTTACCACTTGAAATATTTATCTTACAATATATCACGTTTTTATATATGGTTATTTTACGTAATTAATCTAAAGTAAAGTTGAAAATCTTGATAAAAAGAAAAATATATATTAAATATAGTAGAAAATGACATCACTAGTTTTTCATAGAAATAGCTATTCTATCCCGACGCTGAAAATGACCTTGCTCGATAATTTTTACGTTACAAAAGCAAAAATAATGAGTGTTCAAATATGTTAAGTACTTCAAGAAAATACTCCATCCGTAGGAGTACCCCAATAAAATCCTTAAATATATATATATATATATATATATATATTATTTTTTTATAAAACACGCATATAAACATGTCGTGTCGTATCGACTTTTGAAGCTAAAGTACATAACGCTAAGATACGTATTAGATTCAAACATCCATAACTAGGTCTCGATAGGATAAGTGAGACGCATGCGCCTCTCTGTGTTTTTTCATAATAAGACGCGCGCGTGCTTACACTGTGTGTGTGAGAAAGAGAGAGAGAGAGAGCGATTACATGAAGTGCAACTGAGTTCCCACGGTCTTGGCCTTTGGCTATGTTAGCAATGGGTTGTATGGGGCTACTTGACATTATATCCCACTGTAGAAAACATAAAAATGAGAAGAGTTAAAATCAGTATAGAACAACTGATTTAAAATGAGAAAATATGTAAAAGAAATGTTTATTATTTTTTCATAAAAAAAAAATCACAATCACTTTTAGTTATCAAACCACATCCTACCTTTCCATTCAATTTAACATATGATGATTTTTGACTTTTGTGTATTTAAGCAAATCTTTTACTAAGTCAACATGCCCTTACCATAACTAAGGTTTAAATGAAGGACAATATCAAGGGAAAAGTGCACCAATATCTATTGTCATAGATTTATGATCATATAAAAATATATACTCATGTGTCATCACCATCCATTCAATCTAAGGGACAGCAATGGATAGACAATGGGACCCACAAAAAATGCTATGGTAGGTCTATCTCTATCCATCACCATCCATCCATTGATTGGATGGTGAGATACTCATGACCACAGAGTTCCCATGGTCATATAGATCATAGTATGTATGATTTTATGCATGATCATAGAATTTTCTTTTGTGACTGGCCCCAATTTATATCTTCCTAAAAATTTTCTCAAAATGACTTTAAATATCACACAATTGATACTAGATGTCCTGTTTTTACCAGGAATGACAATTCAATCCTTAAATTGCTGCCTTAAATTGTTGTTCAATCATCTCATAATGCAGCTGGGAGTAAGAGAGAGAGATGGCATGATGTCTTCTCATTTCTAGACAGAGAGAGCTGCATATCATTAACATGGCACACTCAGAAACCTCTGTGTACATATGTGTGTGAAGAGAGAAAACATGGCATCCTAACCTCATTTCTAGAGAGAGAGAGCATGGGATCCTAACCTCTTTTCTTCGAGCATCGTCGCGCAGGAAATCAAACAAGACTGTAGGGGACACCGGCAACCACACAGAGGCTACAGCCGAGAGAATGAGTCCTTGAGGTTCTCCAGGATCATTTACGTTCTTCCGGGACGTCGCCCTGATATCGTTCGGCCCCCCTTTTGAGAGCTTCGTCCATGAATTCAAGCTGGAAGCACCCAGGCCCCTGCAAAAGCTGCTTGTCATTCTCTGTGCAAGCTTCAATATGCTCTTTCTCCCAGCCAGAGTTGTGACTCCTGCATTTATTTTAATGCAAATACTAGGGTTAGAATCTGAATTAGTAAAACATTGTTATTGCCATTCGGACTCGGCCAAGTGACTCGTCTCGCTTTATTGGCAAAAATCAGTTGAGGGCAAGTTGGGTGTCCATCTTGTTAGGCACCAAAAAGACCTCTAAAAAAATATAAAAACATGAAAAATAAAAAAAAAAAGAAGGGAAAACACCAATGTGTATCATAATTAATGTCTTTAGATATTTTGATAGTTTTTAAGATGATTCGTGGATCTTTATAATGTTTTTTATAATTTTTTGAATATTCAAAATATAAATCAAAGTTTTCTATAATCCATCTTTTATAGATTTTTTTCATAGTCTTCTAATAATTTGTATTACCCTTTTAATTTTTTTTTTTCTGATTTATACTTATTTTTTACAATTTTTTGAGGAAGTGCATAACTTGGAAGAGGTCTAATAATTTCTATTACTCTTTTAATTTTTTTTATTTGTAACTATTTGTTACAATTTTTGAGGGAGTGCATTACTTGGACGAGGTGGAATTTAGAACATGGAAAAAGTTTATATAAGGGTGAGGCCCTAAACGGCCTCAAAAACTAACTTCCAAGAGGTTGTTTTGATGCCTTAAAATCCTCAAATTGATCATCTCGACTTAAGTGGTTTTGAGCTCGGGCTTACTTAGTTAGTGCTTGACGATTTGCAACGCTATGTCTTTGGCTCAATTCCTACCAAAGGTGGGGGCCCGCTCCCCATCACCCAAAAGATAAAAAGATCTCATGATGTATAGACATGAGAAAAATAAATTTCATGTCTTGGAAATAGTGTTTTTATTACATTTTATGGACAGTCAATTTTCAAGATTTTCAAGTGTTCATAGATATACTCGATCTACACTAGTTTTAAAGCTTTAAATTTTGTAATTAGATCTGAAAATAAATTTTCAGACAATCACAAAGATTTATAATACTGAAATAATATTTTTTGACACTATTTAAAACTGCGCTTTTAAATTTTCAGACCATCACAAAGATTTTTAATACTGAAATAATATTTTTTGACACTATTTAAAAATGCGCTTCGCTTTGATTGTTTAGGACCTAGCTTTGTACCAATCACACCCTTAAAATATTGAATAAATCAAGGGCTGTGCAAGGACACTTATGAGAGAGATTGGACCTCTGAACCTCTTACACATATATTTTCTCTTTGATTTTAGCAAAAAAAAAAAAAACAAAAAAAAAGACAAAAAAAAGAGAAGGTTTAGAGGTTCAGATTAAGACTTTTTTTTTTTTGTTCTTAAATAATAAAAGACCCGAGTTTGGAAGTTGAAGTTTTGAAGATGAAACTAGAATACAACAATCATGAGAAGTGTGATTTCAGTGTAAAAAAAAGAAAAATTTAAAGTATTTCTTGAAAGGTTATTTCATGATCTGTGGTGTCAACTATCAACATAAATAAGGCTGCAAAAGGGAGGGGTCCAGGTTAGCCTGACACTGGTTTGGACAACACACATGTACACGCACTAGTCGGGTCTGCTTTGAGCGTAGAACCAGAACTGAACCTGGTTGGGTTTGGGTCGGTTGGACACAGACCCAACTCATGGGGTCAAGAGTTTGGGTCCCGACTAGGACCTAAACCCAAGATGGGGGACCTGACCCAGCTAGGAGCTCTAATCCATATCATCTTATAGTGTTTGATTTAAAGGGAAATTTGAAACTGTAGTGTATTACCATAATGTTATAAATTTTATTAGAGTTTCAATAAATAGGGGCTGAGAGAGTACATGAAGGTTAGAAGGAGTGATTTCCAAAGGTAGAGAACATTGG